TGGTAGAAAATAATCAATCCACCACCATATTCAGGGAGCTAGGAAAATGGCAAGCTAAGCCCACAAAGTGGTGAGTGTAGGCTCAGAAAGGAGATCCAGGATCTGAAAGCACAGAGACCTGGAATTGGTACTTCCTGGTTTTGTGATAAAAAAGTGAACATTGTGGAGATATATGAATGTACCATAACCACACACACCCATAGGAGAGGAAGGAAGTGGGACAAAGTTCAATGAACTGCCAATAGCTCAAGAAAGTGACATGGAGAGAAGACTCCTTGATTGACCAGAGACTGGAAAGAACCCCAACCGTCTAAGATGAGTCCATGAACTGATGTAAATCTGGATGAGGTGGAGTAAACAGCACCACCAAGCTAGGGATCTGAGGAGAAGTTCCACTTATCCAGGAGAGCCCACTGAAAGGAACATATATGAGCCCAACCCATGGGAAGAAAGCCCACATCCCCAAAAATATAGAACATTTTAAGCTGTAAGAAATGTGAAGTGAGGGACATGGGATCTTCTTGCTCCAAACCCGGAGAAGAAGGCTGGGCCCAATTAAGGTTGGAAAAAAGACCCCCCCCCCCCTCCATAAATGAACATGGTATTTTAGGAGCAGAGGAGTGTGGTCTCTGGACTGTGAATGGTAAAAAACAACCAGGAGCCAGTCATCCACAGAAAGTAGAGTGCAAAAACTCGAAGAGTGAAGATATCGGGCTAGAGTTTGTACGCCCCAACATGATATAGCTGAGTGATAGATGAGTAAGAGTTGTTTTTTTTGTTCCCGATTTGTAAAAAATCCTTACGTGATAGAGAAAAATGATTATTATTTTCAAAATCTGCATAGCTGAATTAAGGAAAGTCCATTATTAAAACCAAAACAACTTTTATGAAGTTAAAATTCATAGGCCTGTGTAATTAAGTCCTACACTGATGAAAATTAGGATGATAATGCACATAGTTAAAAATAACAAAAATAGTTAGACAGAACAATGAATAATATATTACTAATAGTAATGATATGTAACATACAAACTATTTAAACATACACAATTAACAAAGTACTTATAAATATCAAATGGATAAACCATCTAAATTTATCTAGTCCACAAAGTATGCAATAAAAATGAAAGTGCAAACCAAGTAAAATTACCTTGAAAACACATTAATAATTAATATCTAACTTACCACTCATATGAATTAACCTAGACGACAAAGGACACATGACATAAGCCTGCGATGATATTATGGTCTTGAAATTTTTACATATTCTACAGTAATTCCTGTACGCTGAATCCGAAAATGTTATGCATTTGTCTCCATCACATAATTCACGAAAAAAAATACCACAACACTTAGTTTTGAAACTAGAAGATGTAAGTTTCACAAAATAAATCAGGATGAATTAGGATCCATATCTGTTTCACATCAATGTTCTTCCATTTTCTTCAGTTTGTTTGTAGTTTTATTAACAAACATAATAAAAAATGTTCATTTTGGTAAATTAAATAATTTTATCTGAGTAAGAGTTGTTTTTTTTGTTCCCGATTTGTAAAAAATCCTTACGTGATAGAGAAAAATGATTATTATTTTCAAAATCTGCATAGCTGAATTAAGGAAAGTCCATTATTAAAACCAAAACAACTTTTATGAAGTTAAAATTCATAGGCCTGTGTAATTAAGTCCTACACTAACAAAAATTAGAATGATGAAGTACATAGTTAGCAATGACAAAAAAAAATTTACTCCAATAGAACAACGAATTAGATGTTACTAGTAGTAATCATATGTAACTTACAATCTAAAGATACCTACGAAGTATACTGAGTCAACAAAGTATGTAATATTAACAAAGGTGCAAAAGGATTAAATTTACTTAAAAAAAAATTAATAATCAATATTAACTTACAATTCATCTAAAGTAACTTAGATGACAAAGAATACAAATATCTATCTTACCAAAGTCCGAGCTCTGAATGCATGAAATAATTAATTCTCCCATGTGTAAATAAGAACAAAACCACACAAAAAGCATCTGAGCTATGCCTACCACAGGTAAGACAACCAGGTGAGAAGTGTACATGTTTAAAACTTACCACAGATCCCCTGGAAAAACTGGAAGCATTTTCCACCAAAGTGAATGATGTTGCAGCTTGGCAACAGTTGGAAGGTGAAAAACTCCTGAAGAAGTGTAGAGTGTGACACACCAAAATAAGAAGGTACCGGAAAAAGAGTCCAAATCGTCTTCTCATTGATCATATTCTTCCTTAGAAACAGTGAAAAGAAATTGACAGCCAAACATATAAATCTAGCTCCTGTGAATTAAGGCCTGTACCTTCTCTGCACATAAAGTCGAACCCGATTCCTGGGATGTGGTATCAGTTACATTTTTGACTGTAATGGGAATCTCCATAGTCAATACATTGATTGCAAACTGATACTAAGATCTCTGGTTATTCAGTTACAAGAAATAAATGCAAAAAAATTGTTGAAACAAGTGAATGCAAACACAGTAAAATAAAACTGTTAAAAAAATTGAAATGGCAAAGAAGCATGTTCATAAATGGAGCCACATGCAAAAAAAATGTGTCTATACAATGCTGTGCCAATTAAGAAAGTGAAGATTGAGCAGGAATAGCCAAGGGAGCTAGCTGCACCAATATAGATGGCATAATAGTATTGGTGGATAGTAGTCACATGATATGTACATGTTCAGAATGAGGTGCAATTTATCAGTGATAACTTGCACACAAACAAAAAATGGAGCTAAAAGAACTTTTTTTTATAAATAGTTGGCTTGGTAACCATGAGGGAATAACCCAGAAAATCATGATAAAAAGTAAGTAAAATTTGATGTTTTATAATATTCAATGGTCTTCTGCAGTTTAACCTCAATACTCTATAAACTTGTATCCAAAATTTAATACTAATCCAGCACATCAATAAATTACAAATCTGGACTCAAAGCAAAAAAATTTAATTCAAAAATAATACTTCCAAGTAAAAAACCAAGAGCTACAGCTACAAATCTTTCCAATATATATATTTTTAGTGATAAAATTTCCTCTCTCAAACAATGTGTTCAGTGAATAATGTAGATGATGTAGCTGGAAGCACGCATGTCACCTGTTACTCAGTAAATTCAATTAATAATGTAGATGATGTAACTGGAAGCATGCATGTCACCTTTTTCTCAGTAAATTCAGTGAATAATGTAAAAACTGCAACTGCTAGCATTAACTCTCTCAACATGGGCTTGGTCAATTTGACCTACCATGTGACTTCTTTGTACTCATTTAAAGTCTTTATAGATTTAATACTTCTAACTTTCAATGCAGTGTGTATATCTTCACAAAATTTGGCAGTCTTTCAGTTAATATTATATGTCTTTCACATTATACAAAAAAATCAGTTTTTAGTGAAGTATTTTTAATAAAATAAAATAAAGATTTGTCCAAGAATATATTGAGTACTTATTTAGAATAGTACGTCTGTAAAGTAATTCTCATTTAAAATTAAAAATACTTTTCCTCATCTCAAAAATCTCAGAATGCATTTCAAACGTTTTTTTTTCGGTAAAACTTTATAGTTTATATGTTAGTTTCTCTACCCTATCTCAAAATAGAGTTGGTCAATTCGACTGACTTCGTAACCCCCCCCCCCAAAAAAAAAACGAAATAAATCTGAAATGTCCTTTTTTTCTTTCTAGAGTGACTTCAAATTGTAACATAAAACTACATTCGTTTATCAGCTCAAAGTTCATAACAGTATACATCTACTTATATTGTTTTATTGCCCTTTGAACCGAGTTTAACTACTATCCCCACCATTATAAATTGTAAATCACTCGAGAAACATGCAGCTCATGTTACGCTAATGAATTACATTACCCACAAGCTACTACAAGCTGCTTGTGTGTATGCCTCATGAAACAATTTTATTATAATATTATTATTATTTAATTTACCTAATCTAAACCAACCTAAAAGGATCCCTATTTTTACATTTTAGTTACTTTTATAATTACACAAAGAATAAACATGAAAAACAAGAAATAAAATACTTAACCAATCTTCTTTCTTCTTGCTGTCAATTGTTGAAGACAGTTAACCCTAATTTTTTATACTAATGATAGTAATGCACTTAATTTTTATTTAATTAAATAATGCACCAAAGAATATAGACTAATAACATGCAAAAGGTAGACAAATTCCCTTACCTCTCAAAAGTTTTCTGGCTTTCTAACTATATGACATAGAGTCGTTACAAATTCATCCAAGCTAATCAACTTTCTCATAGGAATAATGTTGGTACTCTGAGTGAAATTAAGATTTAACCATTCAGAACATAATGTTATACAATACATCATTTGATAGATGAAAACCTTGACTTTTTATTGTTTATAGGTAATATATAATCAAACGTAAGAGAGAACTATTAATAAATTCTGAAAGAAAGGATGATACAGGTAGATGTGGCAGGAGGGGTCCAATATTCTATTAGATAGCTCCATAACCAAACAAAATTGAAGACTAAAAATTATGGTTTTACTGAGCAATGACAATTTTATAGAGAGTAATTTACATTTAATTTCATACTTTTTGAGGGGTGGTGGATAAAAAAGGAAAGATAAGTTAAAGAAAATGTGTCACATGGGTCACACTAGGGGAAATTCAGGATTTGTGTTAATATTGCTTCGTAGAAATAAGAACTTAAAACTTATATACTATTAAAATATAGATTATTAGCTAAGATTTTATGCTTTTCTAACTGATATAACAAACAAAAGGTAGTTTAATAAAATTTTGAATGTAAGACACAAACCTTGTATCATGCGCAGTAAAAAATACACGTGGTGATAGGGTTAATGCTACCAATTTTTCAGTTGCGTATTCTAATATAGGTTACATGTGGTGTGTAAAAGACAATCAAACATCATACCCAACATCAAACTTTCACTGATTGTTATTGACAAACATGCAAAACAACAACAAAAAACTTACTCCCAAAATGCCAAATTTGTCAGTAGCAAGCCAACTCATCAGCCAATCAACTTCATACTTATGATTCATCAGAACTACAGCATGCTCAGTGCTAAACTTTTCTTTTGTCTCCTCATTAGCAAAGTAGATAGAACAACGAGACTGGGACCACCATTCAGTGATGGCTACTGCTTCTGAAAGATATATATTAATACTTAAGCAGTCAAGCAAAATGAAATTAAAAGGAAGGACTGCATTAAAAACAGCAAATCCAAACTATGATATAAAATATTTAAATTAACAAAACAAGCGCAATAAAAAAACAAAATTAAATTAAAGATGCTACATAAGTTAAAAGGATCCTCAGGGTACAGGCTATATATAACACGGAAAATAAAATGTGCCCTGCATTTTGGAGGTGACTGCGGAAATAGGACCCATATTAATATTCAGTGGATTTAATAAAAAAAACTAAATAAAATTATTAAAATACTTTGTGATAATTGTCAAAATGTATTAAATAAAAAAGTAAAAATTAAGGAGTTTCTGCTGAAAGTTTCTGATAAGTATTTTGAATTTTAATAAGGTTCTTCAAACAATTTGGCACTACTATTATGTGGACGAACACCTTATCTCATACATAAAGGATCGTGTAAATTCTGAAAATTGGTAGTTACAATAGACTTAATGGATGGTGATTGGGAGTTATATTAGTTAGTTTCAATAACTTGATTGGGCTTTAATAACTCTATACTAGTATAATTTATCTATTATAATAGGGGCTGGAATGCCAACCTCAGGAGGTAAGTTTATCTTACTTACCCCCAAGTGATAGTACCTTATTATCTTTTTTTTCCTTTTACTTTATTTACTTCCCATAACTGTCCGCAGGCAATGAAAGGTGATATAGATGTGGGATGTTGTGGGCTTGAGTACCCACACCTCACTCTCCTAACTTAATTTCTTTTGATTACTTTATTTGATTTTTCATGAATTTCATCATGTGAGACTGGTGAATGGAGGTAAAGACTGATAGATGGTGTATCCCCACCACCTATTTCCGCAGTCACCTCCAAAACTCGGGGCACATTTTATATCCCATATCATATCCTATACCCAGGGGGATCCTTTTAATTTATGCAGCATCTTTAATTTAATTTTTTTTGTTGGGCTTGTTTTGTTTATTTAAATAAATAAATAAATATATATACACACACACACACATATATAATCATTTGAAGCATATACTTTTGCTTCTTTACAGGTACATATTTCTTATCAGATTTACATGTAAATAGCATTCTCAATTACAGCTGTACACCTCATGTAACCCATTAAAATATGCATTTAACAAGGACACATCTTTCATACCTTGCTTAAATTTTTCACTTCCTAACAATCCAAAATACTATGTACAAGTCACATCCAATGTTTCGTTTTTGGTGAACCAGACCAACAGTACACAGCTTTTAAGAGCTAAAATAATAATCTACAACCAACAAGGAGACAATGCTCAAAAACAGCAGTTAGCAATAGTACAAGGAGCATAATAATTATATGACGTATTACAAACTTACACCAATATAAGACAGTAAAAGTTATGAACTTACAATTTATGGTGGGTGAAGGGCACATGATGATGTATCAACACTATCAATTCCCTTAACAATCATAAACACTTCATTCAGATCCTTCTAACACTTTTTTTTTAAGAAAATTATTTCAGAGATCTTAACTGGTCCTCATATGACAACCTTTCTATCTCAGGTATCATCCTAGTAGCCCTTCTTGGAACCCTTTCTAACAATTCAGTGCCCTTTCTAAGATAAGTAGCCCAAGACTAAACACAATACTCCAAATGTTCCCTAACCAATGACCTATGCCTTGTGAAATTATAACCTCTTTAGATTTGTATTCCATATTTCTGTAGATACAACCTAAAATCCTATTTGTCCTAGCACTAGAAACAGTACACTGCTTGGGTGGCTTGTGAGACTGATCAACAAAAACATGAATATGCTTTTTTTATAACAACACTGATACGATTATTCTCACCAAAATCATCCTTATAATTGAAATTATTTTATCAACCTGACAACTCAATGAGGTTGAGTCACCAGGTAGATTAATTCTAAGGTTTTAAAATGTAAAGTTCCAATTATGTTAGCCCACATGCCTAACTGTGTGTTTATTATAATTAAAAACCATCTGCTATTTATTTACCCAACTCACCAAATAACATAAATCCTTTTCTAAAGCATCATCCTCCTCCTCACAACCAGCAACACCCAAAAAATTACAGTGGTGGAAAAATTTATTGTATCATCCAATTTTTTAACAATTTTATTCAGAATTATCATCTGTTTTGAGGCCCTAATGCATGTACGTATAAATGTATTTCATGGATGATGCAATACTGTCTAATTATTACATCAGCAGTTTCATAGGCTGTCTGGGTATTGCATCAGCCATTTTTTGGCTATAAATAGAGGTTCTTAATGAGAATCAGTTTAGAAGCCAATCTACTACAACTCGTGTGCAATGCTACCATAGCCAAGTGTTACAAGTTAACTTCACAGAAAAAAGCAGTCATTGTTTCTTTGAGTAAAGAAGAACATTCTGCTAACAAAGCATATTGCTAGCAGAATTAAATTTAACTAGTCTACTGGTAGCTGCTGGTTGTAGAGGTAGAGAGACTAGCTATGTGAAGGAGGAAGGGAAGGGGTAAGAAGAAAGCTTACACAACAGCTGACAATTGTGTTCTGAAATGTGTGGGCCTGCAGAATCATCAACTGTTCTCCACAGATCTTAAAAGAGCATGGCAGTAAACTTACGGGGTCACTCTCACCGCACGCACTCTGGTCTTGCCTGTGTTGAGTCTGTCTCCCAGCAAGACAGCAAAGAAAGACATCCTTTCTCACAAAAAGACGAGGCTCAACTGGGTTAAAGAGCATGCTGACTCAACTGAAATAAAGTGGAGGAAAGTAATCTTCTCAGATGAATCAAGGTCTGATGGCAAGCACTTTGTACAACGGTGTGGAGAAGAGTTTCATTCAACTTCTTTGAATGCAACTGTGAAACATCCACAGGCTCAGATGATATGGAAATGCATCTCTGGCCAGGGTGTGGGACACCTGCATTTTGTGAAAGACACTGTAAAGTCTGACAAGTCCACTGAGATCCTTAAGTCCCAGTTAAAGCGAACAATTCAGGATCACTTCAGTGGAGCTGACCAATGCACACTCCAGAATGGCTCCTGTAAAGCTTTGTTGCATGATGATGTCATCATGAACCAGTACAGTTCATTTTAAACATGAGAGATACAGCTATTTTTATGTGAAGAGGTATCTTCTCAAAAGTAAATTCTTCTCAAGAACTATCCTGTTCTCTTGGCTTCATTTGCCAAAACTTTCTCCACTGCAGTTTCAATGGGAATTCATGACTCAAGAAAAACTCATATTAATAATATTAGACTTTTTGCAGCAGCTCTGTGAAATCAATTATGGAAAATTACTGAAGATGTGCAGGTCAAAGCATAATTTTTCTGCTGATTAGCCAAACATGTTCAATGTAGCCCTAAAAACATTGTATACAGCATGAAGGTTACAAGGAATAAAAGATAATAACTCTGGAGTTCTTTTAACTTTGGATATTTCATTCACTCTGTCTATACAGTTTGTTTCACATTTGACCAATCAGAAGAGGAGCTTAACTGCACACACCAGTTTCCTGTATTGTATCTACATTGTGTTGTGCAATATCTTGTCCAGGTGCATGATCAAATAATTCAACTTTTTGAGTTTTAAAGAAACTCCTTCTTCATTTTCATGCCAAAATAGAACAAGAATACCCACTTGTTTTCTCACTTGTGCTTTTGTTGTTTCACCATACAATACAGTGTAACCTAGTGGTTTCCAACCAGTAGGGTTCTCCCATTTTAGGAGGGTGTGTATTATTGCTAAAAGAGGGAAAATGGGATATGCTACAATAGCCTTGAAATAAACCATTTGCACATTGGAGATAAAAGATTTAAAGTGGCCAGTAAAGGGAGTGAGAAAACTGATAAATTATTGACCTATAATCTTAGATTTCAAGAAAGAGTGGGGCGTGGGGGGAGATGGCAGGATGAAATGGTTATACTTAAAGGGTGTTAAGACAGGAAAGGATAGTAACCACTGGTGTAGCTTGTATTTGTTATTTCATTTTCTCCAACAATTTAGAAGTAAGATCACTGCCATCACTTATGAAATGAGATATTTATTTGTGATGGTGTTAGTTACATGTCAAGGACTAGAACAATTGAAAAAATATTGCCACAAAAAGTAGCCACTTTATGTTTAATATTCATGCCCAAAGTCTCTCAATACCAAGAAAACTTGCAGAAAACTTCTCAGTGAAACATGAAACATCTGCATCAACCACATTGTCACTATAAAGTTTTCTGCTTCAAACGATTGTCCTAGAAAGGCAAGATACAAATCTTTTTGTTTCACCCAAATCATGCTGCAGCTTGACCATGATGTGCTTTACCATTGCTGTTGGAGAATTTAGGCAAGTCATGCCTTACTTCATTTACTACACAAAATGCAAGAATCTACTGTAGCTAATTCTCACAAAGATCAAGTATAAAACCACTGCTTAACAATTTGTAACAAGAGCTCTTAACAGAATGTTTGTTCATTAGGTATTTTGCTGGCAACTGAGCAGGCTAAGAGTACATGGAATACCTGAAAAACACATTTACATTGTAGGTGAAACTACAACCCCAGAAGGCTTACTGTATATTTTGAATTGTTCAAAAACCATTGGCATCACAACCAGGTGGTAGTAAATGTTAAATTAAGAGTCACATACAGATAACCTTCATGAGGAAAGAGATCAAGTAATGTTTAATCAAGTTAGCTACAAACCTTGATCAATTATTCCATAGCCATAAGTAAACACTAAACCTGTATGTGTATATCTGAGCATAGATATAATAAGCTTCAGAAAACTAAACATGCTACTACTTTTAAGTATACTTTGCTCAGTTTACAAACTTTGACACTAAACCTTGTATTGAAAACTAAAAAAAGTACTTTTTATGCCCAAATTATGCACAAAACATCTGTTATATGATGTTCTTTGTAAAATAATGGTTTGGCTTATATTAGAAAACAAAGGAACTGGTTAAATTCCTTTGTTTAGCTTCATT